ATGATGAAAATATGAAACGTGTTTTCGCCAGAAGTTTACTCATTTACATTAACGCTTAGTAAATTATAAATCGAGTACAATAAACATGGATGCAAGCACAAAATACATATAAACGATTTATACGAAAAACATTTTTTTTTCCAGGGGTTGTTTAATTTATGCTTAAATTTCGCCTGACCGTTGCGTTCACTTCTGTTGCCTGGTCGGTTCTTCTTCGTTACACCAGTAACACGCGAGACCCTCACCTGTTAACCATGGGATCTCTGAAGAGCATGAGGCCACCGAGCCGCACGACCTTACAGCAGTACACAATCAGCGGATGGACTGCCAGTCTGTCTACCTCAGGAAGTCTTCGAAGGATGTTGTCGTCCAGTAAACGTTTTAGACACAGCGGCCAGCGGGCACGGCTGTGATCGGGATGCAGCGCGCTGTACACTGCTTCGATGTGCTCTGTGAATTACGTACAACAATGAGGTGTCACAGTTGAGCTTAACTATTATTTTATTTAAAGTTATGTTACGCGTGAAAACTAAAATATCACTAAAATGGGTTGGGGGAAAGGCTATGTGAGTGAGAGAAAGAGAGAGAGAGAGAGAGAGAGAGAGAGAGAGTATATGAGTGTGTGTGTGTGTGTGTGTGTGTTTATGTGTGTGTGTTTCAATATCGAGAATATATTCAAAGTTGTACACAAATTCACCCATTTATATTTCTTGCTGAAATCATTAAACTATCCATCAATGTAGCCATCCAGCTATCCATCAATGTAGCCATCCAGCTATCCATCAATGTAGCCATCCAGCTATCCATCAATGTAGCCATCCAGCTATCCATCAATGTAGCCATCCAGCTATCCATCAATGTAGCCATCCAGCTATCCATCAATGTAGCCATCCAGCTATCCATCAATGTAGCCATCCAGCTATCCATCAATGTAGCCCTCCAGCCATCCATCAATGTAGCCATCCAGCTATCCATCAACGAGGACAGACATCCTACTATTTACTTATCAGTTACTCATTCATAAATCAATCCATTCATCAATAAAGTCATCTATCACCAGCCATTAAAGAAAAAAAAATGTGTATATATTTTATCTTGTACACATATTACAGTCATGCGCCATCACACCCAAACTTTGTATTCATTCGTCTGTGCACTGATGTTTCCAGTCAGATCTTCTCATCAGTCGTGACCTCTTTCACTGGACTAGTTTTAGTAAATTCATATTATCAATATTTTTAAATTCTGACTTAAGCAATACTAATGTACATACCTTGGCTTGTAGTACTTAACAGACAATGGCTAAAACAGGAGATCAGCTCAAAATCTTCCCTTTGAACCCAGCCGCTGACCTCCCCGACCCTCTTCTCGAAAATTAGCGCCAAGAAATTGATATCATTGGCGGCAATGTGTTCCAACAGTTCTGCTGAAGGCATGCACTCTTCTTGAGAAAGGTATTCCTGCGCCAACCGGACCACAGCCTCCGGAAGACATAAATATCTTTGACAGATATAGGCGTAATCATTGACATAGACTCCGGGGGCATATTTCTTTAACATTGCTATGATCTTATCGAAGTCGGTCAGCATTCCAACTTGAATTAAGTCAATGGCGCGCCCTGATACTGGAAACCTTTTGTAGGTTGTAAAATATATGGTCACTTTGAGATGGGTTGATTGGCTGGCGGCCGAGACTTCGGACAAGTAGGTCATGAACTCGTTGTCGTAGCCACGAGACCGCAAACTCTCGCACTTGTGAAAGACGAGAACGTGGTGAGAGCCGGGGTGTGCTTGCATTACGGAGATGATTAAGCCTAGGATGCTGTTGGGCTCACACTGACAAGCGTGAACTTGTGGGTTTAATGTCATGCAGACTTTCATCAGCACGTCATGGACAGAGGACAGATTTTTGCAATTCAAAGAATGGTAAATAATCTTTGTATGAATTTTCCTTGACTCCGAAATTTTCTGGGGGGAAAATAAAATGATTCAATATCCGAAAAATATTCTATCAAATTTTCAGCCACACCCCTCCCCCCCCCCCCAATCTCAACCCCTCAAAAAGCAGTTTTCAAGAAATAAAATTCCAGATAACTGTGCGCTAACGGACATTCTTATGTGCGCTAACTGACATTCTTATGTGCGCTAACGGACATTCTTATGTGCGCTAACGGACATTCTTATGTGCGCTAACGGACATTCTTATGTGCGCTAACGGACATTCTTATGTGCGCTAAC